TGCACAGGCCATCGCTGAGAACGTGTATATGATCTTGAGGTACGCTATCTGGTTCGCCATGAGATCAGGATGCACACCCTCTATCTAGTACGCCACTGTCGATGAAATACGTTTGGCAGTCTATCGAGGGGTATGCCCACGGTAGTAGATGAATCGGTGGAGGTGCGCGTGAGGAAATCAGATGATGACACAGAACGCAAGAGACAACGATTGGACAGGTTTAGGTCATCAGCTTGATGTAATACCCTACGTCCTGTTGAAAGGATCAAGATGTCCAAGAGGGGTGTTGAATTAGGCTAATTCTAAAATTCTTTGCAATAATTAAACTCTATACTTAGCCCATTTCACCCCTTGTGCCTATAATAGGTTTCTAACGTTCTACCGCACAAAAGTTTTGCAACCTAAGTTTCAATCCTACTCTAGCATGGCAATTCTAGGAATGTAAAGACAAGAATTGAATTGCTCAAATGTAAATGCTTAAAGTAAAGAGAGGAGAAGAAACACAGCGATGTTTTGCCGAGGTATCGGAGAGTCGCCACTCCCCACTAGTCCTCGTTGAAGCACCCAAGCGAGGTTGTAGCTCCCCCTTATCCGCGCAAGGATCAAGTGCTCTCTACGGGTTGATTCTTCGACACTCCGTCACAGTTAATCACCCATAACCGCTCACAACTTGAGTTGGGTCATCCACAAGCTCCGCCGGATGATCACCAAACTCTCGATCACCACCAAGCTGTCTAGGTGATGGCGATCACCAAGAGTAACAAGCACAAACTCTCACTTAACCATAACAAGCCTAATGAGAAGGGTGGATGCACACTTGTTACTCTCCTTACACTAATGAGGCCTTAATTTTGGATTCTCAAATCTCAATCACCTCACTAGGCTCTTGCTCTTTAAAACACTCTCAAGGGTGTTTCTCAGCTAATCAAATGGGCAAGAGACCTCCCTTGGATGAATATAAGAAGTATTTATACCCCCTCGTTCAAAACGAACCGTTAGGAGGTTGCGTCAGCATTCTGCGGGGTGATCGGACGCTCCGATCAAGTTGACCGGATGCTCCGGTCAGTTCTCCCTGGCACAGAGCCGTTAAGTTGTGACCGGACTCTGATCTGTGTCCGGTCAGCACTGACAGGACATGTTCGATCACGAAAACTGCTCTCTAGACCCTTACTGATGTTGACCGGACGCTGGCATTTAGAGTTCGGTCACTTTGTTGTTCAGTGTCCGGTCAGTAACCAGAACCTGACCAGCGTTCGGTCAGCACTGACAGGATGTGTCCGATCAGGGTTCTCCCTCTCTAGAACCATACTGGAGTTGATCGGACTCTGGCACCCAGCGTCCGGTCACATTTCTCTCAGCGTCCGGTCGCAACCAGACGACTTCTCCTTGATCAAATGAACTGACCGGACTCTACTTTCAACGTCCGGTCACAACCGAACCAGCGTCCGGTCAACATTTGATCCTCCATTCACTTCTAACTCGAAATCATACATGAATGAAGTTTGCTCCAATTGATCTTAGGGCTACTTCGGAGCTACCTAATGCTAGATTTAACAAGTGTGCACCACACCTAACCCACTAGACTCATCTAGGTCAAGCTACTCGTTCATACCCCTCTTAATAGTACGGCCAAAAGAAAAACAAAGTCCTAAACTACTATAAGTGTCTTTTCAATACCAAACGACACTTAGAACTAGTCCATCCTTAACCTTGTCGTCCATCTTTTGAAAACTGAAACGATTTTCATCATAGGGGCATGACAACCATGATTGCCCAATCAATTGCCATTACCATGACCTAACTTAATTTTCTCTGCAAAACACACGTTAGTCATGGTAATCACGTATTGTCATTAATCACTGAAACCCAACTAGAGGTCTAGATGCTTTCACCTGTGTCTTTGTGGATTGTATTATGAGAGATTGAATTAAAATGAGGGAGGTCCCTACCCGCCTTATATAGTCCGGGGTAGGGTTACAGGTCGGTTATCCCGATCGGTTTACAAGATTGGAATTACAGAGATTGCGGAATCTAGCATATCTGAACAGATCATCCTTGATTGTCAAGGATCTTCACGTAGTCTTGCGAGGCACGTTGACCTGTGCCGTGCTCCGTGCGGCGTAGTCTTGTGGGCTAGGCCTCCCTTGGCGGCTCGGCCCATGTACAACCCTGTGAGTATCGAGGGTCATACCCTCACACCGGCCTACCTCCCCCGGCCGGTCCCTTCTATATCCGTCGGAGAAGATGAACAGGGACCGTTGACAACACCATCTGACGGCTCAAAAAATCAAGTGCGCTGAGGCGGAGAAACACGATTTAGCATATTATATTACCTTTTGAGATTACATTGCCTATGTTATGTGCACTAAGGCCATCCCCAACGCGCCAAGCTGGCTTGTAGCCCCGTCTTTTACGTCTGCGCGCGACACCCATATCATGCCTGTTAGTGGCTTCGAAGCATGTTGTAGTCGCCTGCAGAGGCTGCGAATGAAGGCCTCATCTGACTTAAGTTTCAGGCACCAAGGCAAGAATGCGTTGTGGGCTAGAGAGCCAAGCTAGTTCGTGCTTTTTCAGAGGCTGAGAGGGAGAACGGGAAAAGAAGCCTATGACAAAAAGCTGAATGATGAAGTGACGTTTTTACTAGCTGTTGGCTTCGGTTGTAGAATTGGTGGTAATATGTGCACTATGTCTACATGTCCTGTGCTTTTTGGCCGAGGCATACGCTACTGACTGTTAGAAACGATAGGCAATATAAACAACGAAGAACAGTAGATTAAACACATGGGACACGAGATTTTAACGTGGAAAATCCTTCCAAGGAAGAAGGAAAAAACCACGGGCACCGGCCAGCAAATCTTCACTATATCGGATGAGGTTACAAACGTCGGGGATTTATAACCTTTTTTATTCTAAGACAACGGCTTACAGGAAGTATATAGAGAGATGGAAAACCCTAATAGGCGACGATCCGTACCGTGGGGGGCTCCGCGCACCCTCCTCCCCCCGCGCACCCCCCGGCGTCCTTGGATGGCATTTATCTTATACATAACTGAATTTAGATCACAACTCAACACTGACCGCCCACATTGAGGCTGGCCTAATCATCGAGGCTCTTACTATGCACCTCAAATCAAATAGTTGAACTGCCTTCTTTTCTCACTTTTTCCCTATCTGCTTGTAGGTACCAGACCATGACTTTGTTACTGATGGTGGTCCTTTGCGAAGGACCTGCTCCAGTTAGTTCCAGGGCCTTGCTTCCTAAAAGAAAATGTAGTGCCCACAATAGGGCCCAGTGTATCTATCTAGCATATCCCAGTTGCGGTGTATATCCTCTATTTAGCTTCTATGATGCACTAGACTTCTGCAACATAGTCCTGTCCTGTGCAGTTTACTTTTCGTTCCACATGGCCACTTCGAGTTCTGAGTTTGTATAATTTTGTTGTCACATTTTCATTTAACACTCTTCTAAGTTCATTTCAGTCTAGAAAATTATGTCTGTTATCCAAATAAACTCATCGATGCCTATGATAATTCCAATAAGGAAAAAGATACGAAGAGATCTTTTGAAAGTTACAACAATCCATCTTACATTTTGAGATTGTCTTATGCTATTTGTATGCTATGGTGTTCTCTTATATCTCACTTTTTCCCTATCTGCTTGTATTATACATATATATCAGCTACTTAGATATGTCTTCCATCAGACTTTATTAATTTATTTCAACGCATATCTATCGGGCTTTTGCTCCAATACACCTCTTTCTAAAATATTGCACAGATCTCAAAGCCATATATTAGCCAATTATTTTTTCCTAATTATTTTTCTCCTGGGTTTGGCCCGTTCAAACCTAGCGGGTGTCATTTAGCCCTGACCCAAATCCAAAGTAATCGCTTCCAGATCCCTTTCTTCGTTGGCCACTCGTTTCGTTTCCTCGATGAAGGAGACGACGGGCGGTGACCATTCCCAGCCAGTGGATCGAGCATGACAGCACATCCATTCTCCGTTTCACGCCGTCGTGAGAGCCAGGTTGCTGCGCTGTGCGTTTGCCGTCGCGGCGGTGTTGCACGCGCACATGAGGAGCGGTGCCGTCTCGGCGTCGTCCAATGCGCTCTGTTCCTGCGTAACAGTTCTGAGCGTGTGGCGTCTAAAGTTCTAAACTTGCCTTGACTCTCGAGCAGCAGTGTATACTAGTGTGGGATAGAATCGTAGTACTAGTAGGAAGTTAGTAGATTGCAGCGAGGTTACTCGATTACACACGCACCGGTCAACCTCGTCGCCGGCGCCCTGTGCCATATTCGTTTGGCTGATAAGTCATAGCTGAAAGTACTATTAACTGATTTGATGTGAGAGAAAAATAATATTCGTTGGTTGAAAAAAGTACAACTTATAAGTGATGCGAATGTGGCCATGGCCTGGACATGGGCTGGGTTCGGACCGGCCTGGCCTGTGGTTGACTTAGGTGGAAAATAATTAAGAAAATATTTAGTTAATTAAATGGACTGCTTTGAGATCCGTGCAGGTTTCAGAAGGAGGAGTACTGGAGCAGTTCTCGGCGCATCTACTCGACTACGCCGATTGCTGCCGCAGGTGCAAGGCAACGCACGCACATGGCCGGTGGAACTTCGACGCGAAGCAATTCTCAGGACGCGATAGATGAAAGGGAAGCCATTGCCCGTTTGAGCTCGGATGGCGAGGGGTCCCCGGCCCCGCCGCCTGCGCCCTGTTGCCTCTCCCGATCGGGCCGGTTGGATGCTGCCGTATCGTCGTTGCTAGCTGGCCTCGTCGCGTGCGTGGGTCCTCTCTCTTGCCCGCGGCTTCGCGCGGTCCACATCGTCGGTTGGCACTGCAGCACTTCGCGCGCGGCCGCGTTGCACTTAGCCACTTACGCGCCATATATACATGCTCGGCCATCCATCCCTGGCACTGGCCACTAGCAGACGAGACGCAGTGTGCTAGCTGCTAGTTCCACATACAGTTCACACGAGTGTAGAAGACCGAGATGGATCCCGTTCCGCCCATCGACGTCGAGGCGGCGGCGGCGGCAGCAGCACGGCCGTCGTGGAGACAGGAGATCGCGCGCGTGACCGTGGGGTGGGCGGGGACAGCAGGCGCAGGCGCAGCGCGTCGTGTGTCGTGGGCGGCGGCACTCTTCGCCCTGGGATGCGCCGCGGCGGGGCTGGCGTTGTTTGCCATGACCCTCCCCGCGGACGACTCCCGCCTGCTGGAGCTGGTACGTTCGCTCGCTTGTCAACTGCTACTGCTACACTACTCCTTCATTGGCCTTTGGGATCCCCACGTACAGCACGGCAATAATGTTCTTCTTGATCCATTTCGTATGTGTGAAATTTCTGCACTCTAAACCGCCGTTCTTGGGCTAGCTTCCGTTCTTGGGGGCCGGTGAAAAGCTTCTAACCTCATTTCTTCTCGAATCGACCAAGGACAGACGGCGTGTAACTGACCTAACCATGCACGTTTATTTGCTGCGACTGTGCCACTACTGCAGGGGCCTGCTGCGCCGACGACCCTTGCTGAGATGGCAGGCCTGCGCACCGCGTCGCAGGGTCTGCTTCTGGCAGCCTCCACGCAGGTGCTCGCGGCCACCATGGGCCTTCTCGTGCCGGCGCGGCTGGTCGCCGTCTTCGCCTACATTCTGGGATGGTTCACCGCCGACCACGCCACCGACGTCCTCCAGATGCTCGTCGCCTGCCACGGCACTACTGCCGACGACGACATCTGGTCCCACTACCGGCTCTTCCGCGTCATGCTGTGGGTGTTTATATATGAACCTATAGTCGTAGCTAGTTTGGCACTATTTGGTTTGCGGCGTTAATGACAGCTGGTTTTCATCGTCTAGTTAAGTGAAGCAAAATGCTATCGCTGACACCGTGACACGTCGACGTCTTGCCATGTGCTGATGTGCAATATCTCATCCAACTGCAATGCGATCCTCTCGTTGTGTATTTATTTCTTCAGAGCAGGCTATTAGGGAGAGGCATACATGCACCTCTCGATCTCTCACTCTCTCGTCTAGTGTACGGAGTACTTTCTTTAGAAGAAGAAGAACGGGGGGAGGGAGTGCCATGCACTACTGGAAATAAACGTGAATAGGCCAGTAGTGATGTCCGAATGATTCACACACTTTACATGTCAATGAATGCCACTGTTTCGATCGAAATACATACGAGAGAGTCCTGCAACTTTAGTAGGGCCGGGATGAAAGATTCTGAATGCACCTACGTATACTGCTTCCTCGCCTTGCAAGGCCGTGCGTGTCCAGAGGCCTCCTCCAGGGCTCAGGCCGCAAGCGCACTCGTCATGTCGTAGCTAGTGCATACCACATGCATGCTCTTCCCTGCCAGTTTGGCACTTTTGCACAGAAATAGTAGTGGTTGCCTGGTTGGTCATTCTCACGGGTTTTACGTACGGTCGTGCATGATTGGCGATCATCGATGCCTATTATTATCTGCCATGGCATTTGTTCATGTTCATCCCAGCAGCTGCTAGACTGGCACGTGAATAGTTTTTCGTCCGCATCGATCTATTGGTACAATTCGAGTAGATCATACCGGACTAATTGATTATCCAGCATGAAATATGAACAATACACATAATCTCCAGGAATCGATAGATATAAGTATGGCAAAATGTGTGGACAAGCAAGGACAATAGTCATATATACACAACTCGATCACCACGTAAGAAACATCTTTCAGTTGCATTTCTTCATTAGTACACATTGCATTGCATAAGCAGTAGAATTCGTTACCAAGTAGCGGGAGTGTGAAAGATTGATTGCCCAGCCAGACAGTGGCGATCACGCTAATGCGAGGCAGCTGACGGAGCTCTGGTGTCGGCTCCTGCCAACAATGCACAAATCAGTGAAGCAGGAGAATGACGCGTCCATGCCATAGGAAGCAGTTTTTTTCCCTACCATGAAAGTTTTTTTTTTATTTTTAATTTGCAAAATATGGATACTACAAAGACTATCTCCTCACCACGCTTTATACTTGACATGAGTAAACACTATGCCAGCCACGGTTTGGAGGGCCGGCTGGTGACCCTTTGTAGGGATGGTTTTGCTCGCCGCCCTACGAAGGGATGGCTACAAATCGTTGATTTGTAGAGGCATTCAAATCGGTTTTTAGGGGTGGCCGATGATTTGTAGGGGCGGCTCGAATTTCCGAAAATTCACGGAATCGGGAAAAAAAATAGCCAAAAAATTTTTTACCTAGAGAGGCAAGTCACGGCTGTAAGGATTCAAACCCGCAACCCGGCCCTCACACATATCCTCCTCTACCACTACACCTCACACTCACTTATGCCTATATTGGATTTTGGTTCTCTAGATATTATCCTAAACCGTGCTTAAATTGATTGTTTGAGGCTCTAAACAAATTCAAATGAAAAAATTGTTAACTACAAAGTTTCATAACTTTTCGAGATCTATAACTTTTACTTTGGTAGTTTCTCCATCTGAGGTCGTTTACAAAATTTGAATTTCAAATTTGAGAAATTCAAACGTAGTTTTCGATGACAAGATGATTTCAAATAAAAAAATTTTGTCAACTACAAAGTTTCATAACTTTTCGAGATCTACAACTTTCATTTTTGCTGTTTGTCCATCCGAGGTCGTCTAAAAAATTCAAATTTTAAATTTTTGAAAATTCAAACATAGTTTTCCTTGACAAGATGACTTCAAATCAAAAAATTATCAACTACAGAGTTTCATAACTTTTCGAGATCTACAACTTTTATTTTGGTTATTTCTCCATCCGAGGTCGATTGAAAAATCCAAATTTTAAATTTGAGATTCAAACGTAGTTAACGTTGACAAGATGAATTCGAATAAAAAAGCTGTCAATTACAAAGTTCTATAACTTTCCGAGATCTACAACTTTTATTTTGGCTATTTGATCCTCCGACGTAGTGGTACTAACATTGTTCATAAATTTAACATACCCCTCTTATAATTTATGGAACCGTAAGAGAGATGTAAATTTTGTAAGCAGTGTTACTACCACTTCATCGGATGAAGAAATGATCAAAATAAAAGTTGTAGATCTTGATGAGTTCTACAACTTCTATGTTCATGAATTTTTCAGCTGAAATCATTTAATATTTCAAAATAACATTTGAAGTTGTCATTTTTTAAAATTCAAAATTCAAAATTTAAATAGATAAAACACAGTCACATGAAAAGATGAACAAAATAATAGTTGTAACAACAAAATAAACTGATAGAGCATGATTTTAGAAAAAATTAAGAAAAAAATCATCAAATTTGAAGTTAGTACGAGGGAGAAAGACTAGTTACAAGTTTTAGCCAGAGATTAAAAAGAGAAATCAGAGTTCTTCGATAATTTAAAAATTAAATTTTAAATAGTATTTTGAAGCACTAAATGATTTCAAATGAAAAAGTTGTAAACAACAAAGTTTCATAACTTTTCGAGATCTACAACTTTTATTTTGATAATTTCTTCATCCAAAGTTGTTTGAAAAAATTCGAATTTTAGTGGGTTCCAATGAAATTCGAATTTTAGTGAGTTCCAACGAATATTGAGCCGCCCCTATAAATCAACAAATATTGAGCCGCTCCTACAAATCCGATTTATAGGGGCGGCTGAATATAGAGCCGCCCTTACAAATAGAGCCATTTGTAGAGCGTCTGATAACACCAGCAGCCCCTACAAATAGAGATTTGTAGGGGCGGGGGGAGGGGTGTTGCTATAAATCCTTTTTGTAGCGGTGAAAGTTATACTCATACGGCCACTTTGTATCCATCTCAATTCACGTGTGTTAGTATGAATGCATCCAAACAAGCTCTACCAAGAGATGTAAATCATATTGCTACGCCTATATATGCTACCTCAGGAATCGATCTACAACTAGACCAAGTCACCAAGACACGGCTGTCGGCTGAACTGTTAAGTGAGTTCCAACCAAAATATGTAGGAAAACGGTGTTTTTGCCCCTGTCTAGAAGTTCAATTGTGATTTTATCCTTATTTTTTCAACTTTGTAATTTTACCCCTGTTATTTTGAAACGAAGGAGCCGTTTGCCCCTGATTTGGATGTCCGTTATTTAGAGGCTGATTAAACGATTAAAAAAAACAAAACACATAAAATCATATGCGAAATGACTGAAATGCCCCTTCCTCTTCATTCTTATCCGCTCGTCCTCTTCGTTGCTATCTGCTCGCGACTGCCGCGAAAGCTCCGTGCGGACAGAAGACCGGCGGCCGAGCACCGTCGCGGCCGCGCGCCCCTACGCCCGCTGGCCATGGCACTCCGGCAACCCCACGACGGCGGCCCTCGGTGACCTCGCCCGCCGGTCATGGCGCTCCGGCAACCCCGCATCGGCGCGACGGTGGCCCTCGCGACCCCGCGCTCGCAAATACCGATGCGGCAAATCCGCCCTATTGGGCTGGGCGCGCGACATCGACGGGGGAGGCACGGCCGGCGGGCTCGCGGCGCGGCGGGCACAGCAAGGCGGGCGCTGCGGTGGGCGCTGCGTGGCCCTCGTCCTCCGACAGCTGCTCCATGGCGCGCTCGAACTGCGCGACCAGCTCCGGGTCGAACAACGCCTGCTGTTGCTGCTGCTGCTCGCCGGTAGCTCCTCCTCCGCGCTCAGCCGGTGGCGACGTCCCGAACCGAGGCGTGACGTAGGATCCCGGCGAGAAGATCTGCCCTCCCTGGCGCAGCCAGTCCCGCAGACTGCCGGACTTGGAGATGGAGAAGTCGAACGCCGCCGTCGGCACATTTAGCTCGCCCAGCTGTCGCGCCCTCGCCCGCCTCTTGGCTCCAACGGCGGCCTTCGACATGGACCCGCCTGATAGCTCTGCCTCCATGGTCGAGGCCGTCGCCGCCGCAGGCACCGCCATGGCTGTAGCGAGCTCCTCCTCCTGTTCGGTTGCCAGCACGGTCGGTCGTTCCGACGGCGAGCCGCTCTCGCTCTGCGTCTGCTGTTGCTGCGTCAGTACCATCGCGTCGAACTCCTCCACCGTGCGGAAGCTCCTCGCTCTCTCGTTCGATGCGGACCACAGAGCGTCGTCTTCGTCACGACTGCTCTGCCGCCGTTCCCGCACTTGCTCCGCCGTGCAGCCCTCTTCCTCCTCCAGACCGACGAGCAGCTCTGACACATCGATCGTCTCGATCTTGGCCGATGGCTCGGCCGGCGCCGTCGCCGTCGCGGAGCTATGCACCTCGGCGGGCTCCTTGGCTTTCCTGGGCGACGAGGTGGAGCTGCGAAGGAGGGCCAGTGAAAGCATCTAGGCCCCTAAGTGGATTTTGGTGATTAATGTCAATACAAGATTACTATGACTAACGTGTGTTTTGCAGAGGCAATTAAGTTAGGTCATGGTAATGGAGATCGATTGGGCAATTGAGGTTGTCATGCCCCCACGATGGAAATCATTTCAGTTTTCAAAGGATGGACGACAAGGTTAAGGATAACTAGTTCTAAGTGTCAATTGAAGTTGGAGAGATACTTAGAGTAGTTTAGGACTTTGTTTTTCCTTTGGCCGTACTATGAAGGGGGGTATGAACGGGTAGCTTGACCTAGTTGAGTCTAGTGAGTTAGGTGTGGTGCACACTTGTTAAAACTAGCTCTAGGTAGCTCCTATGAATGCCTAAGATCCTTTGGAGCAAACTTCATTCTCATATGATCGAGAGTTGAAGTGAATGGAGGGTCAAATACTAACCGGGGCTATTTGGCTCGGTGCGACCTGGACGCCAGCCTGAGGTCCGGTCAGTTCATTTGATCGAGGAGAATATAAATGGAGTGACCGGACCAGCTGGGGGCCAGCGTCCGGTCGACTCCGAGAAAGGGTCGAACTTGAGAAAGTGTGACCGGACGTCCGGTCGGGTGGTGATCGGACCACGAGTATCCAGCGTCCGGTCGATTACAGTAAGCATCCAAGAGCGACCGGACGCGTCCGGTCAGTGCTGACCGGTCCCTGTCAGCGTCCGGTCATCACTTGGAAACTGTTGCGAGGGTTGAACTGACCGGAGCGTCCGGTCAATATGATCGGAGCGTCCGGTCATCCCGCAGAAGCTCATAACGGTTCGTTTTTCAGGCTGCCTTATAAATAGAAGCTCCAATCGAGTGTGGAGGTACTTTTGCTCATTCCAACAGCTGAGAAACACGTTTGTGAGTGCCAAGAAGAGCAAGGTCCTAGTGAGGTGTTTGTGATTTGAGAATCCAAGAGTGAAACCTCATTAGTGAATCAAGAGTAGACAAGTGTGCATCCATCTTCTCATTAGGCTTCGCATGGTCAAGTGAGAGTTCGTACTTGTTACTCTTGGTGATCGCCATCACCTAGACGGCTTGGTGGTGATTGGGAGCTTGGTGATCACCCGGCGGAGCTTGTGGGTGACCCAACTCAAGTTGTGAGCGGTTTTGGGTGATTCGCCGCGACGGAGTGTCGAAGAATCAACCCGTAGAGAGCACTTGATCCTTACGCGGATCAAGGGGGAGCTACACCCTTGCGCGGGTGCTCCAACGAGGACTAGTGGAGAGTGGCGACTCTCCGATACCTCGGCAAAGCATCGCCGCGTTCCTCTCTCCATTTACTTTGAGTTACTTTGAGCAATTCAATACTCGTCTTTACATTCATAGAATTGCTATGCTAGAGTAAGTTTGGAACATAGGTTGCAAGTCTTTTGTGCGTTGATTTGATAGAAACACTTTGTCTAGGCACAAGGGGTTAATTGAGCTATCCGTAGGATTTGATTATTGCAAGAAAATTCAGAATTAGCCCAATTCACCCCTCTCTTGGGCATCTTGATCCTTTCAATTGGTATCAGAGCCTCGTGCTCACGTTTTTAAGCCTAACCGCTTAGAGCAAGATGTCTCACGGGGATGGTCCTCCTCCTATCTTCGAGGGGGATGATTTTCCATATTGGAAAATTCGCATGGAGGCTTACCTAGAAGCTCTAGATGTTGGAATTCTTAGAGCCGCCTCTCAAGGGTTCCCAACACCTAAGAATGCCGCACAACTCCAAGGCGATGAAGTAAACTATGAAAAATGGAATGCAAAGGCTCGCAACACCATCTTTAGAGGCCTTTGCAAAGATGTGTTCAATCGTGTAAGGAACCACAAAGACGCCCATGCTCTATGGTCGGACGTTTGTGCGCTCCATGAGGGAACCAAGAGTGAGCGTGAGGAACGCTATCATCTTGTGATTAAAAAGCTAAATTTTTTTGAGCTGCTTCCCAAAGAAAGTGCTAATGAAATGTATTCTCGTTTAAATGTTCTTGTAGAGGAAGTCAATGGGCATGGACTTACTCAAATGTCACCATCCGACGTTGTGAGAAAGATCTTGAGTGTCCTCCCCATTGACAAATATGGGCACATTGTGACCGTGCTACATCAAGGTGATCTTTTCGCCGCTACACCGACACAAATCTTGGGAAAGATCAATGCTCATGAGATGTACATGCACATCACGCCACAAGATGGCTCATCCTCTACAAAGAAGAAAGAGAAGGACTTAGCATTCAAAGCTAGCCAAGATAAGGGCAAGGCAAGACTTGAGTATGAGAGCTCAAGTGATGAAGATGATGAAGAAAGTCTTGCTCTCATGGTGAAGAAGACCGCCAAGATGCTAAAGAAGCTAAACAAGAGTGGCATCAAGTTTGACGGCAAGAAGAAGAAGTTCTTCACTAGCTCAAGAAGAAAGCCAATCTCCGAGATGGATTGCTACAATTGTGGCGAACTTGGCCGCCTAGCTCATCAATGCACAAAGCCCAAGAAAGACAAGTTCAAGAACAAGGGCAAGAAAGATGATTCAAGTGATGAAGATGAAAAGAAAAAGAACAAGCCATACAAGAAGAGAGATGGCAAAAAGAGAGGCTTCTATAAGAAGAAGAAGAGTGGCAAGGCCTATATTATCGGTGATTAGCTCACGGACATTGATTCATCAAGTGGATCATCCGATGATGAGAGTGACAATGAGAAGGTGGCCGCCATTGCTATTGATCTTGCATCCTCACCGCCACCATCGCTATCATCCTCTACACACCTATGCCTTATGGTCAAGGGTGAATGCAAGGTAACTAAAAGTGATGATAGTAGTGATGATGAGCAAGCTAGTGATGATGATAGCGATAGCGATGATGATTCACCCACATATGATGATCTTGTCAAAATATTAAGAAAATACACTAAGATCATTAGAAAGAGTAGAGCTACAAATGAAAAACTTGATGCTAAAAATGACTCACTCTTAGCTAAGTGTGATACATTAGAAAAGACTAATGATGAGCTCAAAGAAACAAATGATTCTATATCATCCAAACTCAAGGAGCTCAAATCTTCTAAGAAAGAGCTTAAAGATAAACATGATAAAGTTGAGTGGGTGCACAATGAGCTTATCACTAGTCACAACAAGCTAAAAGATGAATATACAACTCTAAAGATCAATTATGATACCCTTGTTGTTGCACAAGAATTCTTACCAAATGAGCCACATGTTGCTACTAACCATGTTGTTAAGATTGATATAACTACCTTATGTGATGATTTAATTAATGAGAGCACTGAGCATGGATCTAGTAGCAAAGGCAAGCAAGTGGTTGAGTGCAATGACTATGATGAGTATGTCAAGCTCAAGAGTGACAATGAGAAGCTCATGAAAGATCTTGAAGAGATGAAAAGTCACAACACCATTGTGATAGAAACTCTTGATCATGACAAAGATTTGATCCTTGAGAATGAGAAGCTAAAAAAAGAAAACAAGAAACTCAAGGAAGAGAAGAACAATGATATTCTCAAGGAAGAGAACAAGAAGCTCAAGATGGAGAAAGAGCATCTCAAGGTGGGATTGAGCAAGTTTGCTAGAGGCAAGCATCTCCAAAGTGAGCTACTCATGAATACCGTCATGAAGATGGATAGAAGTGGCATTGGATATATGACAAGTGTAGAGAAGAAGAAGGCTCAAGCTCAACACCAACAATCAAAGCCAAAGCTAAAGCCAAAGAGATTTTTGAGTGTGGACAAGAAGGCCACTTTGCTCATGAGTGTCAAACTCCACCACCACAACCCTTGCCCAAGCATGCTAGACCCTTTGCTTTCAATGCTCACTACATGCTTAGAAAAGATTCTAGTGGAAAGATGAAAGTCATGTTCTTAGGACCTCCCAACAAGAGTAGGCCTAAGAAGATTTGGGTGTCTAAGTCACTTGTTGAGAAGGTGAAGGGCCCTCAACAAGTTTGGATCCCTAAAGCTTGAATCTCTTGTGTGTAGGTGAACTACAAGACCGGTGGAAGTCATTGGGTTATTGATAGTGGTTGTACTCAACATATGACCGGTGATCCTCGTATGTTCACCTCACTAGATGAAGAGGTAGATGGACAAGAGAAAATAACATTTGGAGATAATTCAAAGGGCAAGGTTAAAGGATTGGGCAAAGTGGCAATATCAAATGATTATTCCATCTCTAATGTGCTCTATGTTGCCTCATTGAGTTTCAACTTGCTATCCGTCGGGCAATTGTGTGATCTTGGTTTCCAATGCTTATTCACCGAGAAGGAGGTTGTTGTATCCAAAGTAGATGACAAGCAAGTGATATTCAATGGATTTAGATACAACAACTTATATCTAGTTGACTTCACCTCCGAAGATGCAAACTTGAAGACTTGCCTATTCACCAAAACAATATTTGGGTGGCTATGGCATAGAAGACTTGCTCGTGTTGGGATGAGCTCACTCAAGAAGCTTATGAAGAATGATTTGGTGAGAGGGTTGAAGGATGTGAAGTTTGAGAAGGACAAGCTTTGTAGTGCATGTCAAGCCGGCAAACAAGTTGCAAACACTCATCCAACCAAAGCTTTCATGTCAACCACAAGAGTGCTAGAACTCCTACACATGGATTTATTTGGACCAACAACATATAAGAGTTTGGGAGGAAATCTCTATTATCTTGTGATTGTGGATGACTATTCAAGGTATACATGGGTGTTCTTCCTTCATGACAAATCCGA